TCGAACCAGCACTCACTGAATTGTGAGTAGAGCGACTTAACTATTCGGCTATTCGTCGCCCATAAAGTGCTTTATTTCAAAATTTTATTGAAATAAACAAATAGAAATTTAATAAAGAAATATTTGCAATTTTAAATTCGTAAAAATAAAAATGTTTTTATATTGAAAAATGTTCATTTTCCGTTGTAAATAGTCTGTATTCGCGAAGCATCTCCACTCTCCGGAAATTTCTATAAACTGTGGAAGCCCGAAGCACTCAAGCATCTTGAGACCCTTACTTTATAAGTTTTAATACAGGAAAATGTAAAAATCTTTTAATAAGAGTGTCGACATGATTATAAGCCTTAGGCCTCTAAACTTATAAAGATATTAGCACCGAACGAAAATACCGTGAAACATATTAATTTAAATTTAAGAAAATCATTTAATTTTAATGAAACGCGCTTAAACTCTTAAGTTTAAGTCTTACAGGAACAATTTGAACAAAATAATTTATTTTTTAATAATATATGTATGAAAATATATTATGGTTATATATTCTTTTAATGCGTAATTAATTTATAACTATTCATAAATTCTTTATTTCATTTTAATTGCAAAATTAGACAAATTAGATGTAATATTGCTCAAATTATGGACCTATTTTACTGAAATGTATTCATATCTACTAACTGTATTATTTTTTTTATGTACAACAAATAAAATTACTTTGAATGTCAACGATACATATTCTATTGCTAAAAATATATTCATATTTGAAAAATCGCACACACAACGTTTTTGTATGATGTTTCCATGGCCACGAGTTCAATATGTGACCTCAAGGAAACGGCAGCATTGATTCACATTGGAAATGTATGGACTGGAAAAGAACTTTTGAAAAATATTTAATATTCACAACTCTACAAAGATCCTCTATTCTGTACAAACCACATTTTAATACTATAATATCAAATCAGGTTTTAGATAACTGTTTATATATTTTAATTAATAATATTAAGTTACATGTTTCTAAAAATTAAGTACTGCTATCACTTTATTCATAATCACTGGTTATATCGCTTTAGTCGTTGGGTTGTTATGTTATCAAAATTATTTAAGCCTTAAAGACTGCAATAAAGTATAATATTTTAGGTAGAAATGCGTTAACTTAATTCTGCTTTTGATATTGTTTTGAATTGTGTCTATATAATAAACGGACTGTAGGGAGCACCACACAGGTAAACATTTATGAGAAAAGATCTAGTCCAAAAAAAAGAGGGAATTTATTGCGCCTAATAAAATTAGAAAAATAATACCTGTAAAATATAATATATGAAAGGTGAGAAACGTACTGCCATTATCAGTTACTTGAATTTATCAGTAGAGAAAGCATATAGATTGCTATTTACTAAAATAAGTTTAAGAAATAATATTGGAGAAGTTAACATCAACGAGATGAATGAAGATGAGGAAGTAGTGTTTGTAAATGAATACAAGATGCATGAGGTATGCAATGATCCAGATGAACTTGATATGGAGGTAGATGAAAATGCTCAAGGCGACGAAGTTGTTTTCGTAATTGAATACAAGTTGGACTATCAGCATAAATCTCATATGGGCATGGATGAAGACTTATAAGACGACCATGAAAGTGACTATAATCATATTGAAGACGAAGAAACCATGAATATAAGTTTCAGAGAGGCATGAGATAACTGAGGTACTCAATAGGGAAATCTCCGAGATATTAGAAAGATGGGAAAAAGAATATCAACATCCTGATGTTAATATGTCATAGGTAGAGGAAGAATAATCTCAATATTCTGATGATTACGCTGAGGAGACGCTGCATCGAAGCGGTGTTACAGAGAGGCATGGAGTCTGCTACAGGCGTGAGAATCTCAATCGAACAATATGATATGTCAGAGGTAGAGGAAGAAGAATCTCAATATTCTGATGATTACGCTGAGGAGACGATGCATCAATGCGGTGTTACAGAGAGGCATGGAGTCTGCTACAGGCATGAGAATCTCAAGCGAACAATCTGATATGTCAGAGGTAGAGGAAGAAGAATGCAACATCTCTGCAACAACTCTGCGCGATTTTCTGCATTCTTTGGCGAGTTTTATTTGTAAATATAGGTGTTAACTATATGGTCAAGTAGTGTTATTAGTGTTATTGTCCTGAAGGTCTTTAGGTAGATCACACGTCTTTTTATTAAGTGACTCACTTTGATGTTAGATATACCCGGTATGGGTTTTATTGGCCTCTTCGCACATTTGGAAGACCATGCAGCATGATCCTCCGAGTTGCATGCCATACACCGGAGGGAAGTGACAAAGTGCATCGGTTTGTTGGCTCTGGCATTTGGAGCACTTGGTCTTGTTCGGACATACGTCATATCGGTCAGTTACTACCACAGACTTAGGGTTGTCTGACTTCAAAATGAAGCATGTCTTCGTTTCTAGAATAACATTCTTTCGGTTGAGATTTTTTGTTTGCAAAATACTTCTTATCAGTTGAAATAGCAGGTTCTTGTGGCGTTTTGAAGACCTCGGCGATCTTTGGTTTTAGTTGTGTAGTTATTTTTGCAGATTCTTTCTTCGGTATTCTGCGCTTCCGCTCTCCCTGCTCCCATCAGGAACCCGTGGCCTTCGAAGAGCAATATGATGAATCGGTGCCCTCTGCTTCCTGATCCATGGTCACAAGTATGAACTGCGATCACACAGCACACACTCGATTCCAAATGAAGCCAAAAAACAGAAACATTTCTTATCACAATGCTGCTATCAAACACGTCTATACTGCTCCGCGTCCTGAATCGAAGTGGTGTTTTTACAAATACAACATAATAATTTTGAAAATTTATGTTTTATTTTCAATCATACTTAACAGTTACTCCTTTTCTTTCAGGCTATCAATTTTCAATTTATATATTTTATTTGTTTTTGATGATTTTTTCTATTATGCATCTAATAGTAGGATGTAGAATATACATAAGATAATTAATAGTAAACATAATTTCTACTATAAATACATTTACATACACACAAAGTACTATTATCCGCTCTTCTTTTAATTAGTTTCTTAATTTTAAGAAAATGAGTTCTTTTGGTTATAATTGTAATAAAAAATTGTAAAATACAGAGTTAGTATGTTCATGATTGAGAAGAAAAAATATACTACAGGTATTAATTAATTATCATAAAACAATCATAATTAAAAAAAAAACAAGGTGAATAGCTTTTTTTATTTAAAAGGAATTGTTATTTCCTTTTTTTATAAAGCTATTTATATATTTTGGTTTGATGATGTTTATTAGTTAAGTAAAGTCTTTTGCTCAGATATTTTTCTTTTATTTATTACATTATTACAAATATATATGTTATTATTATTTCTATAATTCAACTAATTGTCGTATCCCGGGGATGGAATTTGGACACTGTGAAACGACAGACATATAGTCTTCCGTTGCGGCGTCTGTAGAGGGTTTTAGTAATACTGTAAATATGAGTTCTCAAACTAGCATCCAGTTACGTAGCTTGGGTTGCCCTTTTAAGACTAACTTTGTATTACATAAACATCCTATTATATAGTAGTGAATTAACATAGTAGGAGTACAATATTTGGTAAGGGAAGATAGAATTTATTTGACGATTGTACTTAACTTTCCCTAATTATTAAGTGAATAGGCGGGTGTACATATTAGTATATAACTAGTACCGGTTGTACATAACACAATGAAGGTTAAAACGATTAACACCTGAATTTACTATTAAGTTATAATTTCTCTGTATATTATAATTATATAATCATTACAATCATTTCAAAATGATGTATTTTAAGAATACATTATAAGTTACATAAAATATAATTGGTAATTAAATATTATATTTGTCATTAAACAATATTGGGTTGTAAAGACGTATATTTCTGAAGTCATCGCTTACTTCATGTAAATTAGTTTAAAGTATCTTAGAAAATACGTACATTATTCCTTATGAAAGTATAAACATCCGTATGATCGTACGGATGTGTTAGTACCAATGAAGTGTACCAGGCAGTTGTAAATGGAACAATACAAACAATAATTATATAATGATTATGTTAGAAGAATCAAATCCTCCAGATTATATATTATATCTATTCACGCAACCGATTCAAGTTTACTGTTTTCTCTATATTAAAAAAAATGTACATAACGACTGAAATAAAATTTAAATATTTACTCAATTCCCAATATGATATCGGGGCATTCCTACAAATTATACGTTGGAACGAATGGATATAATGACCGTCCGATTAGTGATAAATATTCTATATGCAGATAAAATAAATCGCAGAAAACCCTACACGTCTACCTACATCAAAAATTTGCGGAAACCCTTGAAAACAGTATACTTTTACTATTTTACATATATTAATAAATATTACGTATGAATAGGCACGAAAATGAAACAGATTTTTAAAGGATAAAAAACGTAAAATATGAATTTTTACAATTGAATAAATATTTTGTTTATCATATAAGTTTTATATTTCATTATAATACTAGTTACAAAATTTATGAGTACAAATAGTTAAATTAATGTAAAACAGGTAATCAAACTCAATAAGTTAGATATTTCTATGCTGTATTAGAATAATAGAATTTTATTGCTTTAATGAGTTTATCTAGTATATTGTGATTTAATTGCGATTGTTAATCATGCACCCTTAATACTACATGTTTATGGATTGCCGGAAGCTTTAAAAGAAGTGGGTCATTTTGGTGCATGATAATAGTTCATTTTTATCTTTCTCGATGGAAATGGTGAAGAATTGCTCCCCGATGTCCCGACGAATAAACCTCGACCCCGTACCATCCCAACCCAACCCGATGGTAATATTTGCAGGTACGTATGTGCATGACCGACCATCGCGCCTCAACGTGATCGATTGATGGATGTGAAGAGCGCGAGCGCAGACCTTCGTCGTCGCTCGGGCGGCAGGCGCGGCCCCTCGTGTGGATTCGTGAGGCGACGAAACCGCGTGTCCTACGGTCGCCGCAGAGTTGTTGCGCCTCCGCCGTTGCCTATCGTTACATAAGTACCGGTCGCAAGGTGATTCCAAGTCCCAGTACCGAATGTCATGTTGGATGGTGCGTTGCGCCCGTGCACCACCTCCACCATCTGAACTACAGAACTATGCTATCGGCGCGTCTTCGCTGTTGTAGCCGTTGCCGCCGCCGTTATCTCCTCTTCCGTCGCTCTCGCAGTTGTTCTTGTTGTTTGTCACCTTGTTGTTATTGTTGTTGTTTTTGTGCTTCCATTGTCAACTAGACTTAGACGCACATGGCGGTGGTGAATTTGGCCGCGACGCCGCTGCGACGTCGCAACTGCCTCCTGGCGATCGCCTTCGTCGTCTTCGTACCCTTCTGCATTTTCGTGCTCTTCTCAGTTCCTGGTAAATTGCACCGTTTATTTATTGCTACTCTATTTACTTTTACTGCACTCCTCGTCTCCGCTGTTGCACTTCAATAACGTAACCCTCTTACGTAATACGTGAACATCTTTCCGCCACCCACGCACGCTTCTTCACTTGACTCCGGATTATAACAGTAGACCACGTGCGCACTCATAACACACGCGCGATCGCCCGCACAAGAATCAAAACATCCACAACCCGTATGCAGCGACAGCAAATATGGGTTTCCACTTTAAATAATTATTGATATCATTTATTTAAATTTATTCTCATTATCTCACTAATATCTAATGACAAAAAAATAGTTATTACATTCAAAACTTTCACAGCGGTTAATATTCATTCATTTAATTTATCCTGGTAAACCGCACATATTTTATTAATAAAAAAAAATGACCTTGTATAAAGCATATTTCCATAATCTTAATGCAATTATTCATTCAGTCAATTTAACTTCGAAGCTACAAATATTTATTAAGTAAAAACTATCTTCAAACTTTGCCATTTCTATATATTTGTTCACTTTCTCTTACAAACATTTCACTAACTCCGTTTATTTTAAAAACTTTCACACAAGCGTATGTTTTATGAAATCAATGTTAACTAAGATACATAAATACTTAAAATTAAAAAATAAATAAATAAACAAAACAAATTTATAAACTATTAATTTTCAGTTATTTTTAATTGATTTCTTTGAATTAAATCTGACATACTATAAATCTTTTTGATAAAATATATGCATAAACTACAATCAATTAATTTTATTCATTTAACATAAAAATAAATTGTTCCTTCTTGAGATCGACTTTTCTTCTTAAAAAGTGATCAAAATCAACTTTTCCACTTAAAATGTGATTACGACCTACCTGATCTATAGAAATGTATTTTTTGGTCTTTTGAGTCACATTACAATAACAATTAATTATTTGCGATCGCTCATCATAATCGATACTTTAACCGTCCCTGCTTTATAATATTAACTCCATAGTTTTTAATATCAAACATAATATTTTCTTGTCACTGATCTGAGTATTTTAAAACCTTTCTGCCATGAAGCATTTATGAAATCAAAGTATGCGAAACAAAAACTATTGGTTGGTGCAAAATTATCAGGCGTTTAGTAGGCTAGTTTTTTGTTAATAAAAATTGCTGTTTTATTTACTTTTTTAATAACCGTCTTCCAAGTAAATAGCAGTTATTGAAGTAGATGGTAACTACGCTCCAGAAAAACCTTTATAAATGTTATTGTAGAATTTTTATGTTTCTTTTTTCATAATAAATATTGTTTAAAAACGCCTGATAATTATGCACCAACCTAATATAATCAATCAGCTTCATTATTTTGCTCCGCAAGTTTTCCTGATTGATGTTTTCCAAAATCTAATTATTTTCAGACATTGTTCAGAAAATTTGACCCAGGAATAAGAAAAGAATAGTTGCATTCACTAAGCAATCTATGAATTTAACTAGACAAGATAAAAAAATGTGAAACAAAAAAAATGTATAAATAAATTAAATAGTTTTGAACTAATTTTGTATATTTTCAGTGATTTTACAGCAAAACTCAGTTTGTTTCTGAAAATATACAAAATTAGGTAAATGTTTCATCAGAACAATTGAATTTATTCGAGCTTCATTCATTATAACAATAAAACATATTTCATCAAAATACTAATAATTTATACTTTGTTAAAGGTATAAACTTTATACAAGAGACTAACAACTTGTTCATTCTTAAAAAGTGATCGGAATTCATTTTTTTTTCTCAAAAAATATTCCCAATATGCCCTAACCTAATCTATTGTTTTTGTCTCGTGTTTCTAGTGTCACATTCGAAATATTCTTTTTCTTTAAAATTTTCTCGATCGTCGTTGATTGTATAAGCAAATCATTGTTTATCATACAATTTAACGTAACAAACCACGCATATATTGTTATATCAACCTTGCATAAATCAAATGACGCATTTACATAATCTTGGCGCAATTAATTATTCATTGTAAAAATTTTACTTGAGAAACCGCAAATATTAATAACAAAAACAAACTCACATAAATCATATTTTTCCATTTATATAGTCGAGCTTATCAAAACAGCAAGTTTCCATTAGAAACGTTTCAGTGATTCCTTTTTTTTCTTACTTTTTAGGCTTTCACAGCCGTGAAAAGTCTTTTGATTAAATGAAGGGCGTAAATAGTAATTACGCGAAAAAAGAATGCGCAACGCGAAAGGCGTTAATTAACTTCTCCTGACGTAATTACGAATGTATAGTTTCTTTTATTTACTTTTTCCATTTGCTAATTAGCATTTGTAAATAGAGGATTTGTAGAGCGCTAGGAATGTAAAATCGCTTTTAACCAGTAACATCTATCTAACATATTTGTTATGGATTTCGTGTCATTCTTCTGGTACATTTCTAATGAGCTTATTTTGTTTTACTTTTCAATTTATATAACGGTACATTAAAAAATTAATATTTATGCAAAAAAAAATAATTACAAATTCTTGATTTAACATAGAATAAAATTATTAAACAGGACATATGTGTGTTCATAATTATATATTTTTGGAAGTAAATAATGTCTTTATAATCTACAGAGATGTAGTAGGTTACAAAATCCAGTTACTGTTAAATCTAAATTAACAATCTACTGAATGTTCAATCTCTTGAATATATATTAAATATTTGTTGCACACCAATATATGTAATCGGTTCCGGACTAATCGAGGACTTTTAACGACATAAAAAATAAACGTTAATTGAAATGAATTTTTCATTGTGGTTCCGAACTGATCGAGGCCGCATCATGCGATGTATTTAGGTTATTGTTCATCGCATTTTTGCACACAAAATTTTCAAATTACCTCTAAATTACCGGTTAACCGGTTTTTACTAAAAATATTTACCGTTTACCGGTAAAAAATACGGTAAATTGAATTACACCTCCAAATTATATATTTACATTAAGTTTAATATTTTTAAACTATTCTGAAATGAACATCACACACTAAATTAAAAACAAATACTAAATAGATCATATTTTGCATTACATGATTATTATATTATATTTGTTACTGAAATTATAAATACAACTATTTTTTATAATAATAATTCAAGACTGTTTAATTAGATTAATTATAAATAAGCTTATAATTAATGTTAATTTAATTAAAATCTGATGATATTTCCAACTAACAGAAACAACTTTTAACGAGATGCATATTATGTTCAGATGTAAAAAAAGGAAAATTTTGCTAATTAGTAATGTCGTTTTATTCCATATTCCATGAAGTTCCATTTCAGCTTAACACAATTATGAATTGCTGCAACATGCAATGTTTAACAGATCAAACTTGATGCAACTATATATATATATAGTAACGGAAATGCCTAGTAAATACGTTAGAGATTTAATTAATTTCTGCTAATGCAAAAGCAACAGATGAAATGTAAATATTTATTAATATTAATTGGAATATTAATAACTCATATGTATTCAGAGCATTATTATCCTACAAATAAAGCAAAGAATTGCAAAAATGTTTTAATCGATAAAAAACTGGTATTATCGCAATCACACAATATTTGTAATATGTATTCTATGAAAGAGTTATTCTAATCTATCTGCTAACGAGCTACGCCATTGTTAGTGCTTTTACGTGGACGTCATCAACGAACGATAAAACATCAAACATTTTTTTAATCTGTGATTCGCATTGACATCGCTACAATTTTGATGATGGTTAATGCAACAGTTGCATTTTGAATAAGCGAACGCATACAATGAACAGCGTTTTTGGCTTTCCTGTAAATATAATTGAAATTTCGAACCAATTTCGAAGGCAAATAGCAAGGAACTTAAGAACTAATTTAGATAAGCGCCATCCCGGTCCTTTAAATGTCGCGAATCCAATTTCGGAAAGTGGCTGTCGTTAATATCGTTTCGTTATCCAGGATAATGTTATTCCCATTTGCGATATGCGCGCTCCCACACACTCACATACACATAATGATTCGTTGTAAGAGGTTTGCTGAATTTGGATAGGAACAAGTATGACATTTTGCTTCTCCGTAACACGTGCCTTCATACTCATTAGAACGTTGATAAACCCATCAGATAATATCGTTTGATTTACGTAATTGGGGCAATTCAGTTAACGAGGGACGAGAATTCATCGATTGCGGTTTTGAATAATTGTAGTTTGAAATTTGGAAGTTTGCTTTAAGTCTAATATTTCAGTTGAGAATATGATTATAAACTGTTCTTGATAATGTTATTACATATGACGGATTTATACAAATGAAGTAACTGTTTTTTTAATTCCAATATTATCAAAAAAATTACCTATAAAACCTATCAAAAAATAAAATAAACTGTAAGTAAAACTCAAATATAAATTATAAATTAATCATAACAATCATACATTTCCTATAAAAGGTGACCTAAATTTGTTCAAATTGAATATCAAATTTTGCTTCCCTACATCATTGATTATTAATTATAATGTTTGTAATCCCATCAGATTATATCATTTATATAATTGGAACAATTCACTGGTCATGTTATGACTAATTATAGATTATGGTTTTGATTAATTATAGTTTACAATGAGGAAATTAAGTTTTCATTATATATGTTAATATTTGTATCAACTCTTCATAAAATTCAACTATAAATGATTGAGATTAGGCTACTTTTATTTACGATAGATTGAATTTTTTCAGTTATAATTGCTTGACGAGTAGATCCATATATCACATATAAATACTATTCAGTTTGTTAATTACATTTTATTTATTTTATTATAGACTTTAATTCACATTAATAGATTTCTCTTTGATAATTATATTCTGCGTGAAGACAATTTACTTTAAAGCATTAATTTTTATCAAGTACTTTCCTCTTCACTCGTTAATTTATTTTGTTGCTGTGAAATCTCTCTTCCTTTTTTTAGAAACAATAGCGAGAGGTCAA